GAAAGAGTTGGTAAGTCAATCTGACAGCTATCTAAACAGACAAGCCAGTCTTGTCAGGGAAGACTAGAAAGGGAGGGCAGTCAGCATGTAAAATGCAGATTTTCCACTGTAGCGGTTCAACTTTCTTAGTAAAGTGAGATTTTTTTCTTCCCTGAATCAGTAAGTACCTTGAATTAAGGCACTTACAATTTTCCTTTCCAAGCTTATGCCTCCCCATAAACTTAAACCCATATCCATTTTCTGTTGTGAGCAGTGTCTTTTAACTGGAAGCCTAAAAAAGAATAGTGAAATGGGATATCTAAACAATTATCTTGAACAGCAATAACTGTAGTAATTCCACTAGTTAATCCAAGAAATAACCAGGATCTGCCACATGAAGGGAGAGGCAGTTTTGCTGTAAGGAATCTGTTCAGAGCTGTTCCTTGCCAAAACACATTTGAACATGTAAGGCAAACAAGTAGTTAGAAGATCCAGGCATCATCTAAAATTTCTCCCTTTGCTTTTTTCCTTTAATTATTGCTCTTGAAAACTTGAAAGGAGGAGAAATACAACTGCTTCTCTTCTGAACAGAGTAATTCTAAAAAATGGTCTCTAAATCCACTCTCGTGTCTTCTCATCAATACACTGAATAACAAGCTCCTCAGCAGATCCTACACTTAGGTTTTTGACTTCTTACGTTAACTAGTTAAAATTGTCAGAAGAGAAGTAATGACTTACCAATTTTGCTAAGGCATCAGTGGCTACAGTTGTCAAAGGTAACTTTTAAGTCAGTATTTGCATTTAGAGAGGCTTGGACAAGATTATAACAAAACTAAACAAAAATGGTATCTCGTATTAATGTTTGCTAGTTTCTCCAGCAATGGCAAATTAAAAAGCAACTCACCACCACCATTTGCCAGGTTATATTATAAAAACACATTAAAATTCTCCTCAGTTAACCTAAAGTGGCTCAAAACACAGATTTTGAGCCACATAAAGCACTTCAGTTACAAATTTTGTTTTGAAGCACGACATTCCTGGAATATTTGAATTTCAAAGGTTACAGAAAGTTACAGCTAATAAAAACACACCCACAACAAGACAGTTACCTTAACTAAATGAGGTCTCACTAGGGTAACAACCGATGTATATGTCTCTACTACAGGAGGGAATCCTATTTCTAGCTGTGCTTTGCAGTATCCAGAGCGCTTCGATAATACATCTGACTTTTTACACCAAGGAACAAATAGTTTGTAATTCTCCACAACAGCAACAACTTCATACATTTCCTGCATAGAATACCTGGAAACAGAAATATTAATATTACAATTACAAGGTATATTAACTTCAAATTCAGTATTAAAAAGTTGCAAAGAAGGTACGAATGGCATAGGCAGTTTGAAAAGCGAACATACAAGTCACCTGCAAACACTACCATTGTTTCTGGAAGTTAAAAATGCACTTTGCTAATTAAGAGGGAGGGAAAAAGTAATATACTGGTATAAGGCTTTTGCATAAAGAAGCAACACACCACACAGCATCCAGCAGTAAAGTCAGTGAACAGTGAACCTGGTGTCTGCTACTTTCTGTAGTATCAGGTAAACATGCATGCATTTCAAATGGGAAAAAAATGTTATTTTCCAGCAAAGCTGGTCTTCATTTAGGTCAATCTTAGACATTGCACATAAAGAATCCACACTTCACAGCTACAAAGAAAAGGTATATCAGAACTAAAGTACTGTATTTCATAAGGTTTAAATAGAGGAACACTACTTACCTTATTTTAGCCCAAATAAAAAAGCTTAATTAAAAAGAAAAATACATGCAATGGAAAAACATCACAGAATGGCTGAGGTTGGAAGGAAGCTTTGTAGATCATCTTGTCCAACTCCCCTACTCAAGTAGGACATTGAAATCACATGAAAGAATATGATGGCAACATTTTACTTGATTCTACTGTAACATGGCAAAGTATTACATAGGTATGTTTTTTACTTTTTAGTTCTGACTCGGAGAAGAACTAAAGCACATGCTTAATTCCAGCTGTGTTTAATTAAAATGAAGTGTACGTTCAACAGTACTCAACAGTAAGTACTGGACAAAGGCTCTTTCTAAGTGAATATGCAAAATCCGTTGCAAAAACTACCACATAAATGAATGTTAAGCATAGTCAAAAACATTATGCTTTTAAACAAATAGTTCATACTATTGTGGACCAGAGACTGGGGACAGATCCCAGTCCCATTAAATGAGCTGGAATTTTCCCACTAGCTTTTTAAGGTAAACAGGATTTCAAACTCATTTTTCTATGTGCCTAAGTTTCTTCATCACACAACTAAATAATTTCCTGCTTTTAAAGAAAAAAATTGGGGGAGAGAGAAGTACAACATAATTGTCCTGGGTTTAGCTGTAGCAAGCAGCTGCATGGTTCTGAGTTACTGGCTGGGCTTAAACCACAACAGTAATGTAAATGCAAACACTGGCACATATTTGGGACAGAAAAGAACAAACAGAGTTTTCACACTTGCTGGTTTATTCCCATTTCACCAGATGAACTCAATCGTGTATTCTTCCCTTCCAAGGTTGTTTTTATTTTGTCATGAAATAGAAGGATTATTTCTGTTGTTTCTTTCTGTGAGGCAAGAGGTCTAAGTTCCTGTATTTTTTATACTCAGTTTCAGACTGGAAAAGCCTGATTTCTCTAAATTCCAAAAGCCAAAACTCTTTTCTAGTCTCCAACTGGGCAGAGTCACTGGGGCATGTGTCTTCAGGGATGCTCAGTCTTTAAACGTCTAGTGTTTTGGATTAACCACACAGCAAACACAAAATCAATAAGCACATAAAGTCTCTTTCCACGCTTCTATACAAACCCGATAATTCTTCTTTCAGAATACTCTTTTCTTTTGTTTACTAGTGGTGCAGCAATGTTGAAGAAGGTTCTTGAAAAAGTCTGGCTCATCACAGGTACTCGTGAAGGAGAAATTCTGGTTATCAGAATACCACAAGAAGCCAAGTGCCTGAAACAGTACAAATGTTCTTAGATGTGTTTTCTGTCAGCAAAATAAATAACAATACATTCAGGTGAGACAATCAGTTGTTTAACATGCCAGAAAAAGTCAGATTCAGATGGAAGGCCAAAAACAAATGCTTGTAACAGTACACAGACCATTGAAAACACAAGGGGACTTTTTTTTTTTTTCCCCTCCTCTTAGGAGAAACTAAAAATAGCCCCCAGTCACGAGGAAAGTAAGTGGCAGAGTAAAATACAAAGGCCCTCATTAAACACTGGCAGCCTTAGTTCATGTACAAGCCTCACAGGCACTTAGCTTGCAGAGCAGGCTTTTTTAATAGCAAAATCATCGCACAGTCTGCAATACTTCACCCTCTTAGACTATGCAAAGAAGAGAAGGTTCCACCTGGAGATACGAAGTTGAACTCTCCTACAATCCCTCTGCTGCCATCCTTCTCTTAAAAGGCTAATCTCATTCTGAAAGTCCTTTCAGAAAGTGCATTGTTTACCTAGCTTTCAACATTTCCTTCAGAACGTACCATACAAAGCCTCAGACACAGTATATTTGCAAGTAAAACTTAACAAATTACCTTTAAAAATGCTAGTCATTCTAAGATTGTACCTCTGTGTTCTCTGTGAACATCTACACTAAAATCTAACAAATATCCATTGTGATTAATAGCGCTGTTTTGCTACATTATTGATTTTGCCTACAGCAAGTCAGTTAAGACACAAAATGATACCTCAAAACCTCTGATTTTTGGCACAAGGAAGCTAAAAATGTCAGTGATTCTACAAATATAAGCTTAACAGCAACGTAGGTTTTTTACTGTCCTTTCTCTAATAAGGCAATCGGGACCATACTTCTGGATTCACACAGTCAAAAATGGAACCAACCTTCCCATATTATTCTTAGACTTGTTTGGGTGTTTTGGTGAGTTTTTTTAAACACAGTGAACAGATAGATGCATTTTCTTACTAACCACAAAGTAGTCTAGCAAGTTACAGTTACCAATTTTAAACAATTGAAATTATTATTAACATGTTCATTAAAAATCAGTGTAACTATGAATTCTGAAGAAATGCAGTAATAACCTGGGAGTGACTACACTGGTTTATATGGTCACTGTATTAGGAGACAGGCAAATAATAAATTGGTATTGAGTTCAGAGGAAAATAATCATCAGCAGATTAGAAACAATCTGTACAGAGCAGCTGTGATACAAAGCGAGATGTCTGACAACACAGACTGTAATCTCTGCAGTTGAAAAGGAATTACTTAAAATGGGACAGAAGTATGCTGTCAAAATTATTTAATAATAGGTTGAGTTTAGAAGTCTAGACAACAAACTCTGCAAATGTTTGCAGCTGTATCTCAAGGGATATGGATGACATAGTTTGGTTTTTTTCCACACAGACTGGACAAGACTGTTAAGGAACAGCATTGCTTTGACAGAAGTGCTGGTGGGTGACATTAACATTGTAGCTGCCTCAACCAGATTCATAGAAAGCGTTCAAATGTTTGGACCAGGCCTCATTCTGGAGAGCTAATTTAAATTACTTTCTCCATCCAGGACTACATACAGTACACAGTCCAAATTAGCTGCCAGGTTTCTATTCTTGGTTTGTTTTTACTGTAATGCTATGCCAGTATATTTTTTCATAGTGTTTTATCTAGAGTTGTTTCAGCCACAAGGCTGAAAAACCATCTCTTCACATAATCTTATAGCTGCTGTAAGACAATGTCACTTTCACAATTACATTACTCTTCAAGGAAGGCAAGGTTAAGAGAGCTTGTAATACTAACAAACACAGGGAGACTTCATCTCTCTCATGATTTGATCTGAAGAAAAACAGATGCTGTGACAGTGTGCTGGGCTTGGTTCCAGTTCAGGAAAGCACACCTCTTTTTCAAGCAATCACAAAAGCATGGATTCCAAGGGACTGTCACGCATGGTTTTGTGAACCTGACCAAGGCCACAGAAGAAGAACCAACTCCTTAGTAGCATTCAGACACACCTACCACTTCTGTGTTACCCTCTGACAGTAACACAACGGTATCCGCTCACACTGCTCTTACTGGCATTGTTCAATTCCTGCCACTCGCTGCTTTCTCTGTAAACATTTGGGCACCAACCACAGTCTCACCTGACTTCTATGCCCTAAAAGGAAGCATTTACTGGTATATGGTACACATATGTAAGTGATCTGTATTCAGTGATCATTTTTAATAGCTACAAAAATTTCTAAATCTGAAGATTAACTTATTTTTGAAAAAAGGGATCTTGAACTCCTGGCTATAAAGATTGAAATTAGCCAGAAGAGCACACCAGGGCAGTTGTGTTTACTGCGATCACAACTGTTAGTTCCACAAGGTTAGTGGTCTCGGATGGACATTTTATGGTCTGTGAGACATGAGTTGATCTCATTCAAATTCTCTGTCGACAGCTGTTCCCATCCCCCAGAAATGAGTGTTGCCAACAAGTGTCCTCATTCGCATCTCAGTCTGAATGAGCCTCATTTACCTCTTGAGTCATTGAAGTCTGCTACTCAGGACCGTAAGGGGTCTGCTGAGTTGACAACAGGTACAGAATATGAAAGCATCCCCAGCTTCAAAGCTACAAATAATACTGTGCCGTTTTGGATTCAGCCTGCACTCGCTCCAAACCAGCTGCCAAGACTCTGGCAGCTTACACTAGAAACATCTTCAAACTTAAGTTTGCAACCAGTTACTTAATGAGCTTCCCTATACTGAACATCTTCCCAGTAACTGATTTTGCCCTCAAGACTCCAAGTCCAAGTAAGATGGCATTAATCCACTGTAGAGTAATAATTATGCTAAATGCTTAAAATTTGACATCACGAACCAATCTCTATTCCACTTTTTGCACCGGCTTATGAGCATGACCGTAAGACTTTGAATTTAACAAAGAAACACTGAGGCACTGACATAACGTTAGAACCTTTTTTCCTCTTCCGCTTGTTCTTTCTATTCCAGTTAAAAGATCACCCCTTCCCTCAGAGCTTATTTGTTTCTCAGGCGGTTTCAGCCAGCCTTACATGTGATCAGGGGATAAGGGGATAACTTGTTGCATTATCTGAAGTGGAAAACATCCGGGCGCTTTACTCAGTTTCTCATTTCTTTCACGGATTGCTCGAAGTTACGCAACCGGCTCAAGCTGAGAAGAGGCAACGTTATCATCTGATAATCGTCTGTTCTTCCCTCGGCCACTGGCCGCGTTGGAAAGAGCCAACAGGTATCGCAGCTGAGGGCAGCGCCTCAGCCTCCCC